TGTATTTTTTAAAAATTGATTAATTAATTCAAAAGTTACTTTTAATGAGATAAAAATCGATAGCTCCTGTTTTAAAAATAAGAGCTTTAAAGTAGAATGAAGACCGTGGTCTAGCCTTGCTTTCTTAAGAATGTGTTTCAAGGTTGCCGCGGTGGGCTCCATTAGGCCTTCTGCAAGCATGTGTTTGACGGTGTTGGAGCATCATCTCTTCCCACTTCCGTCAGCCTCCTTTATTCCCCCTGCACAGCCACGTATCCTGTGAGTGCGTGGTTTTATGTGTCTGCAGAGACCTAGACCCCTGCTCATCCCCTGCTGTCTTCACCCCCACAGTCCGTCTCTGTCTTCACAGCTGAAGGGAACCCACGGAGAAGATAAGTCGCCTTTACATTGCCCATTTCTGCTGCTAGACACCCTGTTAGCCCCATAGGAAATGAGGAGCATTGCAGTGAACACTGGTGTGCGGTGTCTGTGATGTCCTCAGGGCAAATGCCCAGGAGTGACAGATGTGGCTGGCTCATAGGCGAGCTCCGTCCACTGTTAGTTTCTCCGAGACACTTCCATAGTGACCTCCATAGTGTTTAAACTAGTGTTTGTTCCCATTACCTGTGTATAAGGGTCCCTTCTGCTACTTCACCGTGTTACACACACACAAACACACACACACACACGCACGCACGCACGCACGCACACACACACTCACACACGTCCCACTGCCCTTTCCTGTGTGTATGCCGTATGCCGTCGGCAAGTGCTTTTACGCACTGAGCCATCTCTCTGGCCTGTTACTTGTTTTACAATGATGCCATTTTTAGTATGACGAGATGGAGCCTCAATGTAGGGTGTTCTTTCCTTCCTTCCTTCCTTCCTTCCTTCCTTCCTTCCTTCCTTCCTTCCTTCCTTCCCTCTCTCCCTCCCTCCTTCCCTCCCTCCTTCCTTTCTTCCTTCCTTCCTTCCTAAATTGAAAGTGTCACAAACACCGTCCTTTCTATGTGGCTTTTAGTTAGTTCTGTTTTGTTGTTGTTGTTGTTCTTCTTTATGTGACAAAGCAATTGTGAGGAGCCACAGAGAGCCACCCGGGGAGCCCATCCAAGGAGCCTGGAGCCAGGCTCTAGACCGGAAGGGAGGTGACAGAAGTGGACCTGCTGTTGAGGACAAGCAGGTGCTGTGTGGCACTTGTGTGACAGTTAAAGGCAGAGCCTGGTGCGTGAGTGATAGTTTCCTCGGGAACCTAAGAACCGAGGCTCATCCTCTGGCCACGAAGTGGTCTTTGTGTAGGGTGGCCTGGAATCATCCAGGTGTGACATCTGCCTTTGGTCAGGATGGCCCGCAGTTCCTCCTAGAAACACAGCCCTGTGTCCCTCACTGCCGGGAGTGGGTGTTATGGGCTTTTCATTGAGGTGACGAATGTATGTGTAAGAGACAGGAAATGTGTTTCTAGCTTTGGGTACGGGGTGTCAAATCGCGCTGATATTTTAAACCCAGGCTAATTTGTTCAAATAAGCACCGATGATGTTGCTTGCTGAGCTCCTTCAGACCAAGCCTTAAAGTCGTAGGTACTAGAGCATCGTCTATGTGGGTAGGCATCTCCCTTTAGCTTTCTGTCATCAAAGTATTTAGGGGCCTGGAGAAGCAGAGCAGTCTGGCAGTGTCTGTTTGCTACCCCTTGCACTCAACTGCTGTCAGTCGAGTATGTGTGTACACCATGTGTTTGTATGTATATACATGCATGCATATATTCATACCATTAAAAAATTACAGGCATCATGGCATCTAAAGATTTTTTTCTTTTCTTTTTATTTTATATGTGTGGGTGCTTTGCCTTCATGTATGTCTGTGCACCACATGTGCGCAGTGCCCTTAGAGGCCAGAGGAGGGCATCAGATCTGCTGGGACCAGAGTTGCAGATGGTTGTGAGTCACCATGTGGGTGCTGGGAATTGAACCCCTGTCCTCTGCAAGTGCTCTTAACTACTGAACCCTGTCTCAAGCACCCATCCTGACAGTTTTACTCACAATAGAACTGCTGATATCGCCTAACTTCTCTCTCCTGTATAACTACAACCCCACTATCAGAAACCCCAGAAAATGTCGGCTAGAGAGACAGCTCGGAAATGGGCTTGCCTTGCAGGTGTATGGACTTGAGTTTGCTACCCAGATCTGTGTAAAAAGGCCCGCCAATTAGGGTCCACCCAGGAGGATCCCTGGCTTGCTGGCCAGCTGCCGTAACCAGTCAGTGAGTTCCATGATCAGGGAAGAAATGTGTCTCAAACAAAATATATGGTGGAGAATGATTAAGGAAGACGCTGCCCTTGCCCTCTGACCTCCATAATCTGTGTACGTCCGGCATGCACACAGCGGGATATGCTGCACACACACAATAAAACCAAAAAATTAGCAATGATCTAATTCTCTCTCTCTCTCTCTTTCTCTCTCTCTTAAATTTTAAGCTTGCCTTGCTGCTTCCTGACTTTCCTCGTCCTGCCCTTCCTCCCAACTGGATTTAATCAATATCAACAAACCCCCTTATATTTTTCCCAGTTTCTCCACTTTTTGCCTGGGAAGCAGCTTGCATGGGCTTCTCCCTTGGATATTTGTTTTTAGTTGTTTACTTGTTGAAGGTCCAGACCAATTCTCTTGCATTTTTTTTCTGTTGAGATTATCTTGCAAATCAAAGATTCAGAAAATCTTTTATTTTTATTTCTTAACTGACATAGATATTTTCTAGAATCCATGTTGCCAGGTTGTTCGTTATCTTTGACGGTAGACACCTCTTAAGACTGCTTGGGAGGTCATCACCAGGGCAGCTGAAAAGTTTAGAAAGATGTGTAGTTCAGTCCCACAGCCCCAATCAGCCCGAGACAATACCTGCTGAACTGACACTCTTCGCTGTGTGCGCGTTCTGGTCGTTTTCAGAACAGCAGCTTTCTGGGGAGTTGCTATTTCACCATCTGTGCATTGTGTCATGCTGAAGAGTATGTGGAGAGATTGTTTTTGCTAGGATAGCTGGGTACTAAGCCAGTCACATTCTTTCATAGGTGTTTAAGGGAGACACACCCAGATGTAAGGAGCCTGGCCCAGGAAGAGAAACAAGCATCCTGGTATCCACAGAGCAAACACCTCTGTCTGTTTAAGGCTTTCTTAACGTAGGCATTGACTCTTAGCTTGCCTGTCCTGTGCTTCAGTAAGTCGAGGGGAATTCACCAATAAACACTTAGGATATTTTGGTTTCCCCTCTTCTTTCCCCCCCTTTGGGTGGGTCCCTCCATATTTTCTGTCCCTATCAGGAGATCAGATTGGCGTGACTTGGAAGTAAACATGATACTCTGCCAACATAAAGTGGTTTAGAAATGTTAATCTATTTTACCAAGCCAGCATTTCTAGCCATACGTATTTTAAGCTATCATAAAACATGTACCTGCCATGCTCAGGAATGTGCCGAGGGCGAATATCAAAGCCTGCCGAGGGAGGCTGGGAGTGTGTTTTGCTGTGTTGTAGGGTTATACCCTGACAACCTTCAGGAGGCCTGGGGTTCTGGCAGGGAGCGGCTTATAAATATCGCAGACAGCTTCTTTATCCATCGACCAATTCCTGCAGGGACCAGTGGTTCCTATGTGTTCACTCAGGAGCAGTGCCGTGCCAGGATGGATGAGGGGCTCAAGCTGCTTGCACCTGCCTGAGTTAGCTGTCAGTCCATCCAGCGATAACTCTCTGAGCCTAGCAGGAGCAGGCAGCCATATGGAAAAGGTCTCTGCTTGGTATCAGCTTCTTTGAGAGAAGTTTCCAGGGCCTCCTGACCAGGACGTCACTGGTTCAGGGCGACGGTAAAACCACTTTGCTTGGTATTTAATGCTTGCATTGTCTGTGTTGTCATGTCTTTATTTTCATTTGCTGGGACGTCAAGTTCCTGCCAGTCTTGTTACTAGTGGGTTAAGCAATCTGTAACTGGGGACGGGGCTCTTGTACCAATTCATCTGTAAAGGAACCGAGCTGTGTTTGGGTGGTTCCACACATCTGCCTCATTATTTGTTGAACAAAAGGACACAGTAAGATTTTTAAGCACACTCTTGAATCTGTATATTTCAGGGAGTTGGGATATAGCTCTCCGGGAGAATATGGGCTTAGCAGGGAAGGCCTGGATCTGCTTCTCAGTGCCAAAACAAAGGTGGCAATGAGAATTCTGTGTTTAAAATTAAAGAGTAGAAGTGATCTACGTTAAATGTATGCTGTCACCATTCACATCATACATTCTGAGTAAATAGTTATTAAAATAAGTATTAAAGACATTTAAAAAAAAGCTGTAGAAACTCAGTGTCGTGGGGTGGGGGAGCAAGATGAAATAAATGTTTGGTTCCTCGAAGCTCCGGAGCCACCACCTTGTGTTCCCACCCGCACAATCATTTTCTGCTGCATCCATTTCCTCATTGTAGATGTCTTCATGTGTGTGACAAGACACACGCGTGGAGCTCAGAGGACAGCTTGTGGGAGTTGACTCTCTCCTGCCGTGTGTGCTCCGGAGGCTGAACTCGGCTTGCCAGGCTTGGCAGCCAGCACCTTTGCCAAAGAGCCATCTCTCCGGCCCCTCGCCTGTACGGAAAAGTGTAGCCAAGTTTATCTCCTGTGGTTCTTCGGTTAAAACAAGAGCCCATTCTGAGCAACTGAAGCTCTGCTGGTCCTACTCCCAGAGAGAGGGGCCCAGAGAGGATGGCAGTGTAAACGGGAGTGTGGGGTGCCCCCAGGTCTGGAGGGGCTTGCACCTGGGATGTATTTCTTTCTGCTAAGCCTCTTCTTCCCGGGTCTTCTCGCGCTTCACCCTGACGAGAGCGAGTAAGACACATGGCCTCTCACACGGTACTCAGAGCTGCAGCACTCACAGGCCCTTGAGTCTGATCCTTCACCCGCCCGGGTGCTCGTGTGCACACATGTGCTCTGTGTTGCGCGCCACCACCGACAGCTTCCCTTCCAATCCGGTGAGTAATCAGATTGCCTCTCTTTCATCTACAGCCGTCCTGCAGAGGGCCTGATGGACATGGACGCCCTTCCCCTACCTTAGAGTGACCGTTCCAACACAGAACTACTAAGGCCATCGAAGGGGTGCCTGTGCCAGGAGAGGAGGGAGGCGTCCCCCACCCCGGCCTCAGAGCCATGCCTTTCGGCCTGAAGCTTCGTAGAACTCGGCGCTACAATGTCCTGAGCAAAAACTGCTTTGTTACCCGGATCCGCCTGCTGGACAGCAATGTCATCGAGTGCACTCTGTCTGTGGAAAGCACGGGGCAGGAGTGCCTGGAAGCCGTGGCCCAGAGGCTGGAGCTGCGGGAGGTGAGTTGGGCACATGTCCCTGTAGGGGGACAGGAGGCGGGGGTCCTTGAAAGAGTCAGCTATCTGCTAATGTGTCAGCATCTGCCACCTGCCATGTTTAGAAGAACCTGCTATTCTTAGTGGGCGTGACCTGACAGAGATCCTGTGCTTGGCTCAGGCGACCAGTGCTGATGTCAGAGGGAAGGGCCCACAGCTGGTACGGGGAAGTGGGTTTCCTTCTGTTTCCCTCGTGAGATTTTTACAGGGAGGTAAGAATGAGAGACTTTCCCCACCAAAGCCATTTTTTTTTTTTCTCTTTAAAGCAGTTGAGTGGGTAGTTGGCATTCGGGTTTGATGCCTGTGTCACAAGGAGAAGCCACCCACGTTTGGGTGGCTGCAGCTGCCTTTTGTTTGTTTCTCTATTTCCCCCTTAAAAAGAAAAGGAGCAAACAGCATTGAAGTGAGAGTGACCCACAGACATGGGGGAAGCATTTTTATTTTGTTTTGTTTTTCGAAACAGGGTTTCTCTGTGTAGCTCTGGCTGTCCTGGAACTCACTCTGTAGACCAGGCTGATCTTGAACTTACAGAGATCCATCTGCCTCTGCCTCCCGAGTGCTGGGATTAAAGACATACACTACCACCACTCAGATGAAAAAGCATTTTTTAAGAATTAAAAAAAGATTAAAATGCACATGCGTGTGTGTGTGTGTGTGTGTGTGTGTGTACATGTGTGCATGTGTGCATGCATGTGTGTGTGTAGGCTAGATGACAACCTTGGATATCCTCCGCAGGAGTGCTGTCCTGGTCTTTTGAGACAGAGTCACACTAAGCCTGGAGCTCACCGAATTGTCTAGACTCTGGGGATCCTCTTGTCTCTGTCCCCGCCCTCCCAAGCCCTGGGACTCCAAGCCTTCCATACCCCGGATGTTTGTGTGGGTTCTGGGAATTGAACTCACATTCATGTGCTTGGATGTTATGTACTTTACTGCAAAGCTGTCTTCCCATCCCCAGGGAGAGTGGTTAAAATAGGTATTCGTTTCTTTGAGCTACGTGCAAGCCATTCTTCTTTGTGGTTTGTTCTGGTTTTCTGAGTCAGGGTCTCACTTTGTGACCCAGTCAGTCCTCCGACTTGTGATTCTCTTGCCCCAGACTGCCAGCTGGGATCACAGCCATGCACACCACACTGGCAGGTCCCGTGTGCGGTTGCCGTGGCAAGGTGACCTCCTTGTTTTCATCCCCTAGGCATTCAAGATGAGACTCTTGTAAGGAGTCTACGCTTGTGCATTTTGAGTCCTGATGACCACATGACACATTGGCTGGTGGGCAGCCCGTGGGCAGACAGTAGCCTATACTGAGTGACCCAGGAACCCTGAGATTCAGACAACCCTGAGCCTCAGAAAGCTCTGAGACACCTGGAATCTCACTGGGGTTCAGGGGACAGAGGAGGCTGATGGCCACGTGCCACACCTGAGGTCCAATCCTTCTCCTTGCAGCTTCTGCTCAGGGTGACCGTAGTTCTGTGGGAGGCTTTTGTTCCTGAACACCTCTGTTCCCCGCTGTCCTTCACATTGGTATCTGGCTTTAGCATTCAGGTGGGCTGTCTGCTCAGGATCATGTCCACGGGCAGCCAGAGGTTGGCCTCAGCAGCCGATCAGCAGAGCTGGCTGCTGACCTAGGAGAACAAACTGGGAAAAGTCCTGGCCATGCTGATGGCAGGTAGCTAGCTGTCCCTTGTTTAGTGGTGGCATTTTGGGGTATACATATTTACACATATGTAAATTCCCTTAAGAAATAAAAACTTAAATTGTATAGCCCTGGGAAGGAAGTGTTTTTGCTCTTTGAGTATTTCTAGTTCTGTTGCTAACAAGTCATTCATATGCATTGGATCATTATAATATATGATAAATAGCTATAACTGCATGCATATTCATTGGATCATTATAATATGTGATAAATAGCCACAATGCATTTATATGTATCAGATCATTATAATATATGATAAATAGCTATAAGGCATTCATATGCATTGGGTCATTATAATATGTAATAAATACCTATAATGCATTTATATGTATCGGATCATTATACTATATGGTAAATAGCTATACATGCAGGTAGGGTTTGTTGTGTTGGACTTGGCTCAGATTATGATTCTGAAACTTATTTGCAGAATGCCTGGAGAAATTACTGACCCTGTTTGGCCTCTGTTTCTTGACCCCTAAAGTGGGAAGAGTGACGCTCACTTTGTGGTCTTTTTGCCAATCTTAAAAGTCATCGTGTCTGGAGATATGGAGTGCTATGTCCACTAATTCTAATAACTGCTCACACTTCAATGTCTCTAGAAATGATTTTTATTAAATAGAATTGAGCAACTTCCTTAGGACTTGCTAGGCACTGGGGAGCATTCGGAGGGTCCAGCACTTAGGTAACAGGTGAAGACTGAATGCCACCTGCGCTAGGCATATCACAGAATAGGGCCAGGATGGTGCCTGTCCTTAGCCATTCAGTGCACAGACCCGTGTGGGCCAGGGGTGAAAGCCAGCCTGGGAGGAGACTAGGGTGACCTAGTGGGCACAGTGCTTGCTGCATGAGGGTGAAGGCCTGACGTCAGTTCTCCAATGCTCACATCAAAGACTGAGTGTGCCAGCAAGTCAGAACTTGGGTGTAGAGACAGTTGGGTGTGTCCCCAGGGCTCAGTGGCCAGCTGGTCTAACTGAAGGACCGAGCTCCAGATTCAGTGAGACCCTTTCTAAAAGTAAAGCTCTCAGACATATGTGTCAGCCTCTGGCCCCCATACACACTGCCTGGGTGCACACATCTGTGTGCGCGCGCGTGCGCACACACACACAGCCTCCGTGCTTTGAATCTGGGCCTGAAACCTACGTTAGGCATTCAGGTAGGAAAGATGAAATGTTGTCCTCAGCACAGGGAGCTGGATCTGCAGGGAGGAGGGAATCAAGAGCAGCTGCCTGCGCTGGGGACAGGGACGAGGGGGTGAGTGAGGGGGCTGTAGGGGTGGGGGCAGGGTGGGGGGGCGGTGCAAAGGCATCTACCAGCAGAGCTCTGGGGAGCAGAGAGAGGTGAAAGGTGTTGGGGTACGTGTGCAGTACTGGTTCCTCTCTGCCAACCCTGGCTGCCCTCTGAGAGGTCAAAGGGCAACCCCAGATGATCCTACCACTACCTCGTCAGCTAGGATGAAGGGAGCAGTTCAGAGGCTCCTGTCACGTGTGCATTGTTGTGTGATTGGCAGCTCAGTGTTAAGGTGTGGTTCAGCTTTCATGCTGGCTTTGTGCTGGCGGCCCTCAATGGGTTTGTCACCTCTGAGCAAATTGCTTTCTCCTCGGGTCTTCACTTTCATCCTGTGACAGGTAACGTTGGTGCTGTGACCCTTCCCAGTCAATCAGCTCTCCGAGAGTCCAAGGAACAGGCTCTATACATCCAACCAGAATGTCTTCCATCCAAAAACAGAAGAGGAAGGGGCTAAACACAGGGCTGCCCCCAACCAATGGGGACTGTTGCCCAGTGTAGCCTCTTTTCCTTGTACAGATTTGCATTTTATCCAGAGCTGTCAGTTGTAGCATTAATGTTCTGTGGTTGGCTACTCTCATGTGTAAAGATTTTGGAGACACTGGGACTCAGTATGCATTTCCCAACAAAGAAAGGTGAGCGCACATTGCAGAGGAGGGTGTGGCTTGGCTGAGGTTAGTCTAGTGGCCCTTGGTAACAGCTCTGATTGTCTGATGTAGGGACGGACTATTTGATTGACAGGAAAACCTCATTCCCCAACCTGTGGAATCGGCCTCAGTTCTGTAACCTGCTTAACTGCACAGCTGGGGTTTAAAATGATCAAAATGATCAGCACGAGGCCGATGAGATGTGTTGCTCTGCTTTCTGTTGCTGTGATAAACAAAACAAAACAAAACAAACAAACAAAAAACAACAACAAAAACAAATTGAACGCATCTTGGGGAGGAGAGGGTGTGTTTCATCTTACGCGGTACCGTCCATCGGTCCATCGTCTAGGGTAGCCTGTTAGGAGCTCAAGGCAGAAGCCTGGAGGCAGGAACCGAAGCAGAGGCCATGGAGGGCTGCTGCTTACCAGCTCGCTCTCCTGGGCTCGCTCTCCTGGGCTCGCTCTCCTGGGCTCGCTCTCCTGGGCTTGCTCTCCTGGGCTCGCTCTCCTGGCCTTCTTATACCGCCCAGAACCACCAGTCCAGGGATGGCACTGCCCGCAGTGGGTTAATCATTAGCTAAGAAAAATGCCCCACAGATATGCCCAGAGGCCAGTCTGGTGTAAACAGTTCCTCAGTTAGGATCCCAGGTATGTCTAGGTTTGTGTCAAGTTGAAACAAAACTAAAGTAGACGGCTCCCTGAGTAAAGGTAGCTGACACCAAGCTTGGCTAATGACCTGAGTTTGGTCCCTGGAGCCACGTGGTCGAAGGAGAGAACTGGTGCTTATGAATTGTCCTCTGATTTTCGTGTATACACATGGCTCATACACACCATAGCATGTTTGTGCACACACACACACACACCAATTCTGAGTAAGAGTCTGCTGAGAACAGGTTGTGAGGGGGAAATTTAGGGCCTTTGAATTTTGTGTTGGTTTCTTGTCTCGTGAATATTCTCATTGGAAATCTTAGCTAGCTTAGTGCCTGGCCTCTGCTGTCGTGGTAACTATACCTTCATTTTAGTAGAAACAGAGGTGGTTATTTCTCAGCCTTCACTCCTAAGTCTTTCTCACTGGGTGTGTTCTGAGGGAGTCTGGCTGCCGCAGAAGGCTTGCGTGGGATCATGACGGGCTGTATGGGTCCCTGTTACGCTGCAGCTTGTTTTCCTGTATTTTCATGGAGACATTGACTATAAAAATGAGGAGAGTCCCCTTGTTAGGTATAGATAAGTTCTAGAATCCCCAGACCTACGCAGTACAGAGCCTGGGTGTATACAAGGTGGTCTTCCAGTTCTCCAGCTGTGGAGGACATTGATTTATCTTCCAGAATCGCTGGCACATAGCAGGGA